CCGCCGCTGCCGCCGCCGCCGCCCTTGTGACCGGACAGGTGAGGCCTCTTGGGCTTGGACGCCGGCTTCTTCTGTGCCACCGAGTTGGCCATGAAGGAGTTACACCTGTGGGCAAAAACGTGCGCTCATATGAAGCCATTTGGCTGGGTGTGCCTAATCAAGCGTCCGGTGGAGTTGTGCTCATTCATCATGAATTCATCACATTGGAAAACTTCTCCAGCTCAAACTTGGTAGTTGTTCAGGTCCTACATTATTCATTTTGACAAACAACACACCCACACACGCGGTCGTCCGCTATGACCCCGATGCGGTGATTTCACAGGATCGGCGTGTGAATAATTGAGGCTGGTGAAGAGTGTGCTGGCGATAAACGGGCTGCGGGTGATGCGCATGTATCAGGGCCGCATGGCAAAGAAGAGTTGTGGGACGGTTTTCAACCAAATTAATGAAGCTCTACTCGGTTCTTTACACGCAAGCGATTTGCAAGATCTCTGTGTGAAAGAGGCTCATTGGGAACAGCGCCTCGTCTGCTGCCCAAACAGGCTACAATAGAAATGTGAACAACATGAACCCTGCACAGCGAAGGTGGGATGTGGAATGGTTTTTCACAACAACAAAAAAACAAAAAAAAAAAACGAAGGCACATTAGCTTCTTGCACACTATTAGCAGGTTCTCTGTGAGAAAAAGGCTAATTGAAGCGAGCGACAAGTATTTGGCCAAAACGGGCTGCGGTGGGTGCAGGATCTCTCTGGATGACTAACTGAGGCCAGTGATGAGTGCGCCGCCTAAACGGGAGGTGGTTGCGGGACTGTTTTTAAGCCCAAAATGATGTTATGATGCGCATAGTACTGGCATAGCAGCCACGGCTTCGTGTTTGTACAGCACACAACATTTGCTACACTGCAAGTTCCTTGCGCGGTAGCCATGCCGTGAACAACAACAGCGCAGCTAAGCCTCTGGTCAACATTTTTCAGTTCCTGAAAAGACGCCAAATTATTTATGTCGCGCGTTCCTAAAAAGAAAAGCTGTTGTACATTATTAAGTATACAAGACTGTCGATGGGTTGGCCTGTGGATGCGTGCAGCCCTGTGTCATGTGCATGTGTGCAGACTGCCAAGTAGTATACGCGCGTGCGCGAGATCCACGATGTGAGCGCACGCACTGACCCCCCCTTAAGGCTGCCCTACATTTGAGGTAGCACAGACCGACTGGCGCGCGCGTCAGCGCTGCCGCGTTCCAACCAGTTTGCGGCGTCAGATTGGCGCTCGTCGCTGCTTAAGGAAATGTCAGCTAAACGAGTGCGAGGGCGGCGGGAGACGAGCGTGACCTAAAAATGGGACGATGGGAGGAAGGCAGGCCTGTTTTTCATACGTGCAGATCACAACTCTTAATACTTTTTGTTTTGTAATAAGAATCGAATCTGCTGCGGATCTGTCTGATTTTGGAAAATAAATTATCCAGTGGGCCGATTATGGGCGCCGATAGTCTCAATTTTGGTGACTATCGCTGCTGGTAGCTACTTTAAGTTGGGCTCTATTTTCAGGAATACAAGGAGTACTCAAACAGTCATTGACATTTTGATTTGAAAGTAAATTATAATCAAGCGTCTTTTTTTTTTTTTAAGAGTTCAACATATTTTTGTGACACGTAGAGATCAAATTTGGTGTTCCTTGTGGGAGTTCGCTGATTTCATAAATGCAATACTGGCCTTACTTTAAGGTATTGGGTAATTGTGGAAGCTGTTGATACACCAACCGCTGATACTTGAGGCAAAAAAATAAAAATGAAATCTGACAATTCCTCCTTTCGGCGAGAGTTGGCACATTATCTGCGTCACAAAGAAATGTCTTAGTTCACAATATTTTGTCATTGTTTTAAATGAAAGTTTAGATTTCAAAAGTACTAGTGGTAACAGAACTCGGTATCGGTGAGTACTCAAAGAGCCAATAGTTCTGTGGGTGGTGGTGTTTTTTTTTTGTTTTTTTTTCCCCTCCTGTGGTTCAAGAGCCAAAGTGGTTCTTGAAGGATTTAAGATTGCCAACCCCTAATTGAAGGACATTAATCGAGATTGAGTTCGATATTTGCGTTAAGAGATTTGGTTTGGAGTCTTTTGGCAACACCCGAGTCCCTCCTCACTCAGCTTCGCCGAACATTAAAGTGGCGATCGTTCCCTCCTCAAACCTGTCGATATTCAGCAATCGTCATCCCGAATCGCCGATTATCAGCGGGGCGGGCCTTACCGCGAGCGCCGTTCCTGCAGGGTGCTGAAGCCGGCGAAGGACTGACTCCGAATGATCCCGTTGGGCCCTCCCGGGGAGTGCGTCCCACCGGCCGCCATGATCTCCGGGATGCGCGACGACACACCTGCCGAGAGACGCATCATCAGATGGTGGAAGGGTGGGGGGGAGAAACTAGTTTTAGGAGGTTGGCACTCGGCCATCATGACCTTTCCCGCTGCAAACACGCCCGTCTGTGAAACGTGACTCCCATCACTCAGCCGACGTGTACTTTGTACATATTTCTCGGCCGTGCTAGTAGGTGAGACCGAGCAGAAAACATTCCAAGAATACGCCAAAAGATGTTTCGCCGTTACCGAATCGTCTCCTCCTATAAATAAGACACCTCTTTATAAAAAAATCGGCCAGTCTGGATTTAGCAGCAGCTTGTCAAAAGCGCCACTATTTTAAGAAAGTGCAACACGAAGCCGTTGATGCTTGAGGGAATATGCAGAAAATAGATGCGAGACTTCAGCTCACGTTGCACCGATGAACCCTGGAAGGGTTTGAATCTTGAGGAATATCCGAGAAGGATTTAATAGTTGGACTCGTTTTGCAGTGAGTGGCCAATTTTCTCGATTACTCTTTCAAGGAAACTCGATGACGATGGAGTGTCCTGTAACAAGTGCAATCATGAGTAATTCAAAGTCCGGTATTGGCATTAGCTCGGTTTCAGAAACGTTGCTCTTTGTTTGTTAGCATTACGCTTTGGTTAAAAAAAAAAAAAAAGACAATTAAAATCCAGACCTTGCCTCCGCACTTGAATGCTGTTAATGTGTCTGCTCAAAGTGTAGAGCGCGTCCCACTAAAAAAAATGGATGCTACGCCATCCACGAAGCGATGGTTATTATGAGGCGCTAACCAACAGCTAGCTTGCCCGCTAACAGGTTTCTGGGCGCCACCTCCTTGCTTGGGGAATTGTAAAAATGACCAGGGAAGATGCACTTTCTGCGTAGCTAGCTAAACGCAATTCTATAAACTCACTAAACTCGATTTTTTTTCTGAGGATTTTGACCTTGACATCATTTGCTTTTTTTCAGCAGTCAATTTATACCTCTATACGCTCACTGTGCGGTAACCACGTGAATTTATGTTGGCCGGTTGTTGTGAAGTTCGGAACAGAAAGCAAAAAAATAAACAAACAAAAACAACCAAGCACCGTCTAGGAAGCTACAACACCACTGCATGTTATATAATGTAATCTAAAATGTTAAAAACAATATAGTGGGGGGGGGGGGGG